TAAGCTATTCTCTTTAGTTAGTGCACACTTAACTTTGGTGAGAATATAATGTGTCATAGTCCTCTTGTATAGGTTGATGAGGCAGCCCATGTCTCCTCACTAAATGATCCAAAAGCCTGGGATTATTATTTCTGTGTTTATTTTTATTAAACATAAAGGCACAATGCTTATATGCCTCTCTATAGGGATTTAGGTAAAATTATACACACACGAGTGCACGCACACACACACACACACACAAATGCCAAAGATGGAAACAAGACATCTCTTTTTTAAACTTTTTGCTGATTTTGTCTTTCTTTATGTATGGTGTATTTGTGTGTTTATCTTTGGGAAAGTGGAAGGAGGGTACAGAGCTCAAGGGAAAAAGGATGAAAAGTGCAGCCGTGGAGCTTACTGGACACTGATGAAAGTGAACTGTACACTCGTGGGTGGAGATGGGAGGGAGGGGCTGGGAGAGAATGAAGGAGGAAGGGAGGACACCGTATGAAAGGAAATATACTCACTGCCTGATTCATGTAATCCCTCTGTACATCACCTTTATAATAACAGTAGAGTAAATAATAATTTTAAAAGTCTATAGATGCACTGAAGTTGGACAAATAGAGTTTAAACAAGCTTATATATAAAATCTCCATTTTGTTAAAGGAATAGGGTCACACAACGCCTAATAAATGAGCTGACTAGTAGATGTGCAACAAAAAAGAATAAAATGTCCTAAACTGAAAAAAAAATTAAAGCCTTCATTTAGCATACTAGCTACAGGGTTAATGGCCAGCTCCAGACACTGGTATCTCTGTGAACAGGGCTCTGTTGGATTTTCAGGCAAGCTCACACATCCCGAGAGGAGGGCAGCAGCTGGCAGACAGCTTTGTATGTCAGGTGAAGGCAAACTGTTTCAGTGGTCTAGGGAGCAACTGTATAAAAAGCATTAGTCAAGGTTTTGGTGCAGGTAATTTTCCAACCAAGATGTTACTTGTTCCAATAACATACCAGAAACTATTAGGATGTCATGTTCTTTAATCTAATTACTCTTAAATTGTAGAATGCCTAGAGAGAATCACTTGAGTCACAGAGTGCATTGAGCAGGCCTGGAGCCTTTAGATGAGCCCATTGTGGGACCATACTTGATGAAACTCTTTCTAATGCTTGTTCCTCATGTCCAGCCCAGGAAGATGTGAGATAGCTGCGGACCTTTGAGAGAGAAGGCAGTCTCTTCAAGTTGTTTCTTTCTCACAACCCAATCCCCTTGTTTGCAGGACTTTTTGTTCCGTGTGTATGTGTGTGTGTGTGTGTGTGTGTGTGTATTTTTGGGAACTTTTACTTTGGAATCCTGTTTCCCCCCCCCCCCAAATAAAATCCTACTCAGAAGAAAGCCAGTCTACACATTAAATTTCTCCTCTAGCTGAAGATAATCCTGGATTCCATAGCTGATGATCTCAGGCCTCCCAGTGTGGACAAGATGCCCTCTGACTGCCCCTCTGACTGGGCACTATTGTCTCATAGTGCCTGACCACACACATAGTAGGTGGTCAGAAAGTTGGTACTGAATTAGTGAAGTTGGAGACACTCGGCGACCATCGCTTACAAAGAATAAGAGAAGCCTGAGTACCAAAACTTTCTACTTCTTTTCTTCAGTTCCACACTCCTAGTTTGCTTTCTGTTTAAATGCACTTTACCCCACACAGTCAAGGAACATTTCTGGCAAATGCAAAAATGTGAGACAGCTGATGAATTGACACTTCTTTCTAGAGGAAAGGAGATGTTACAGAAATAGACTCTTTTGCTTCTTAGTAGGAGTTGCATTATATCTATCTGGAAAGTACCTTGGGAGTAAATCATGAGTCACACAGAGTAAATAATGCTATATGCAAATCAGAAATACACACTTTTTGCTAACTAGCCTGGCAAAGGGTGTGAAAGTGGCTAAGACTAATGATTGCAGGTGGACTGGGGGAAATCACAGGACAATTTGTCTTGTTATATTTGGTTGAATTTTCTTTTTTTTTTGCTACTGTGAATCAAGAAAAAAATTCTGAAAGCAAAAATAAATTGAGAAAGCAAACAGAAATGTCTCCCCTAGAGTTTGATATGAAAGACTATTTGATTAATTTGATATTCATAATTGGTAGAAGTGCTAGTAGAAGTTGAGGTCAGATACTTCTCATAACTTATTAAGATTTGTTGTGAGTAAAGGGTTAGTTAGCAATTCATAAAAATGATTTGAAATAGAATGTGATCAAATAAGAGTTCCTTATCACTTAGTAAAGTTGTCTTCTGTTTATTAATAAAGCTGTATTTTGATGAGAAATTGCTCAAGGGTAATTTATACTTATCTTGGCTCTATTTCTGTGGCTATTGCTTTACCTTAGTGATAAAGGTACCTAAATTGCAGAACAAGATATATTTGATGTTGCATTTTAAAGGTTAATAAATTACTATTGAAGGTTAAATCTTTAAAATTTAAGGATCCAGATTGTAAAGGGATGTCTTAATTCCTGTACTTAGAGGTTGTTTGGGGACAGCCCCTAGTTTTCTCTAAGGCCTTGGCTTGCCTTTGCTGGGATTCAAGAGAAAATATCATTTCTCATCCTGTTCAAGGAACAGTAAAACAGAAAGATGAATGAACCAGGGATTAGAAGTTAAAACTTATCACTTTTACTATCTGCTTTATTGGGTAGAGTAGGTTTATCTTTCTGTGGGCCAACAGGTCTCTAAGACAGAACCTTAGGGTCAGGCTTACCTAGTAGCAGGTGACACAAGTCACTGTAGACTTCTGAAGAGCAGGGCACAGTGCATCTTGTCTCCATGAAGGATGGCTCCAAAGAGAAATATCTTTAAGCCAAATACACCCAGGCTGTCTTTGCTCACAACACCCTTAGTATCTGCATACATTTCTAGGTTAAAAACAAAAACTACCTATTCTATGTGTTAAATAAATTAGATCCAAACCATTTATACTATTAAATAGGCTGGCTGACTCATAATGTCACTGCAGAATCCCTGGGAGTTGGCTTTGGTGCCCAAGAGTGGGTACCATGACATGTAATTTGGGAAATACAGTGTCTTTCAGAATAAGTCAGTGTGGATCCTCTTGATAGAGGCTATAAGGTAGCAAAGAAGAACCACCCAAGCATTAACCTGGTGGAGCTCCCTCCAGGTGTAAGAAAGCTTTAGCAGAAGGAGGAAGTGAGCTCCTCTCACCTGCCACATTTGCTGAAGCATCTGGCTTTCATGGCAGGGCAGTCCCCAAGCTGAAGTGACTTCCTGTCCTAGCAGAGTGGACGCATGAATTCAGCATGTACTCACAAGCTATGCCATCAACATTCTTGGCACCGCAGAACTCTTTGGAAAGGAAATAGAAAGTGAGGTGATAACCCCCAGGGCATATCCGAAGTGTATTTCTCCAGCAAACTCTCTCAATTCACATGCCCTGAGGGCAAATACTGTGAAGGCTGAAAATAAACCTGTTTTCATTTGACTAAGTTATATACAGATTGTCAGTTTTCTAGAACCTTTGAGCACATGAATTTTTCTTTGCCCATAGCTCTAATGGGAAGCATAGTCTGTAGTTAGAATAATGAACAGCTGGGCCTTTCATGTCATAGTCCTAACCCAACAATAAAATGGCCACTTCTTTCTAAGACAGAATTTCTATTAATAATAAAAAGAAATTTATGGTGAGTTTCTAGTCATAAACAACTAAATATGTGTGTGCTTCTTATCTAAATGATGCAACATGTCCAGACTGCACTGATAGCTTGATTGGTCAAGTGTACATTTCAGTCATTCAGATTGGCCTCATCAGTAAAAAGCTAGTATTAGAAAATCATGAACTGCTCAGTGTGCAGAAAAAATATTGAAGTAGAGAAGTACTTAATTCCTTTATAGTAACATTTTATTGCTGTACTCAATACATTGAAATGTAAGAGTACACAAACTGAATATTTTACTATTTTACCCATACCTCTTCTCCCTCAAAAGCACCTTCCAGAATGAATTCCCTGGGTAGTTTGCTCTTGATTCTGAATCACCATGATTTCCTGGGGAAGATAGTAAGCTGGTCCCTCAGTGGGAGCATTCCATTTTGGGAAGAAGCAGGATTGTGTATGTGTACATGTGCCAGTATTAGGGCTTGGATGCAGGGCCTAGGTTCTGGTCTCTTAGCATTTTCTGCTCAAGGCTGGTGCTCTACCACTTGAGCATTTTTTTGACGGTTAGAGATGAGTCTCTCAGAATTGTCTACCCAGGCTGTCTTCAAACCACAATTCTCAGATCTCAGCCTCCCAAGTAGCTAGGATTGTAGACAGGAGCAACCAGCATACAGCAGCAGTAGACCACAGCTCACCTGCTTTCACTTGTCATATGCAAGCATTCTTGCTTGCCTTTGCCTTTGCTTCCTACTTCCTTGGCAAGTTTTACCATTTCTGAGCTCAGATTGCATCTCCCTTACCTTTGTAACCTCAGCTCTTGCTCTCATATCCAGCTTCCTTCCTCTGGAGATCCTGACAGTTTAAGGGAGCCTTCTTGAAAGCTCAGTTTCCTTGTCAGTAAAATGGGGATAATTAATAATCTGTCTACCTCAGAGTGTTTATAAAGATCAAATTAGATTTATGCTAAAGCATTTGGTTAACTGAAAAATGCTATTAAATGCCAGGTGTTATAAATCATTAGCTGGTCTCTCTTCCTCAGCTAAAACAGTTTCTATGCATATTTTAGTTAGCCCCTGAACAATTCTTTGTCAAATAGCAAATGTAAATGCTGCTATTTTTTTTCCTACTTGGATTATGGTGGCTCCTTTGCAACTTTATGAGGTAGGCTGAATCTTTAAGTACTCCTTTGGCTCATATCTCTTCCCCTGAACACTCATGCAAGATCATAATCCATAAAACACAGAGGCAATAACTCCTTTTAATTGTCAGGAGTTCATCATTTGCTAAGTTCTAAATGCAGTCACTTAAGCACTTGCCTTGAAAAGCCTGTTTCTATTTATTCCTCAGAGCCGAGACTGTGTGAAGCTAGGCCCTCCTGGAGAGGGAGAAGTTGTCCAAGTCAAGTGGCCAGATGGCAAACTCTACGGAGCAAAATACCTTGGATCAAATGTTGCCTATATGTACCAGGTAGGTGCTGCTCTCTCTGTGATGCTTTCCAAGATGGATGGAAAATGGTGGTAGAAACAGTGTAGGAATGTGCTACTATGCATTTGAAATTTCTCTTTTTTTCTGTGAAGGCCACAGAGATTCTATGTCTAGTAACTCAAATTGAAGCTCTGAAATTTGCTATTGAAGTCAGACATGGAAAACCCTGCAACATTTGGTGAATGGTTGAAAAGGAATATGTTTAGGTAACTAGATGAGAAGCTGTTTTACTATGTTTTCATTATATGAAGAGACTAATTGGCAGGTTCATCTCAGCCTAAGGCTAAGATAGTGATGGCCATTCTTAGCTAGAAACACCAGAATTGATAGCTTTTGCCTGGGAGACATATCACTCTGGTCATCTCTGCTATACCAGCGGTGCTCATTGGCCCATTTACAGCCAGTTGATGTCCTAAGGAGCTGGTGCTTTTCACCCACTCAAGCTTAAAATAGTGCTATTTAAGGAAAATTCCAGCTGTCAAGTGGATTCTGTTCAGTAGGGAACTTAGAGAGTTTGCAATTAAAAATAAAAATATTTAATTTTAATTTAATTTAATAATAATAATTCTAGAAATAAAACTAAGTTAAAAAAAGGTAACAACATGGATAGCAGACATGCTTTTGTACTCCTTCAGAAGGCCTTAAAAAGTGGACACACTCATTAGATCTAAAATATTGTAGCATTTTCAGCAATACGTCAGCATTCCAGGCTAAGGTAAAGTTAAAAAAAACAAAACCAAAACCAGAAAGATTGTAGTAAAGAAAAAAAAAAAAACAAGACGCTTCAGGCTTATTAAGTAAAAACAGCTTGAAAAATGATAAGCGTGCCAGTTTCAGCAGAGTAAATGTTCAGGCACTGATAAGGGCCAGGGCTTAATGGAATAGTACATTATAGGACACTGCACGAGGAATTGGAGGAATGTGGTGTAATTAAAAGAGTTTGAAGAAGTTTTGAAAAACTCAGAACATTTTTCATGGTCTAGAAAAGTCTCAGGGGAAGGATTTATACGTATCCATTGTGTAAAAAAGTGTGGGGAGTATGTATATGTTTAGGGCTTTCCCCTACTTGTATGTGGTGTCTATGACAGCTTCTAGTTGCAGATTTGGAGTATTTATAATAGGGTGAATGCTAGATGGAGCATTTTGCAAGAAGATTGGCTAGAATTTGGCAAAAATCCTAAGACAGGCTGCAGATAATACTGCATGAGGCTCTGGGTTCAATTCCTCAGCACCACATAAGCAGAAAAAGCTGGAAGTGGCTCAAGAGCTAGAGCGCCAGCCTCGAGCTGAAGAGCTAAGGGACCACACCCAGGCCTAGGTAAATAAATAAACAAACAGATGTGAAACTTGCATAGCAAAGCTGTTTGCCATGAGAAAAGTAGCACAGAATGAAGACATATTGAAATTCAGCCAATTAGTAATCAATGTGTTAACTGCAGTTGAATTTATGATGGCCTGTCAACATAAAACTATGGACATATTTATAGACTCAATAAAAGAGTGATATTAAAATTGTCTCTCAAGCACAAGTAGCTTGAAATTCCTGATTAGGTCAGATGTCGTTTTGAGATAAATTTTGTTGTTTTGTGTCTATTCAACTTCACCATTGAATAAGCAGAACATAAGAATAGGTATGAATGAGGTGCAGTGTTCATATTGTAAGTGTATATGTTTAAGTTGCCCTTATAGTAGTCCTTATATATAGGCTTTGTATTGACTGACTTCTATTTTGCAAACTAGGGAAAGGGGGGAGGGGACTAGTTTGCAAACTGGAGTGTGGGGAACTCAGTAAACAAATTTTTAGTAACTTCATGAAAAGAACAAATTTTTGATCATTTGATCAAGAGCAAACAGCTCTGTCCTTATTGGAAAGAACAGCTGTCTCTGCTCTGCTGAACCCATCCTGGGTTTTAGTACTGAGACTCACACCAGGAGCAAGCTAGGATGGTGGGGCAGTCTGTTCCTACTCTGATAATGCTCTGTTTTACTTTTGTAATTGCCTTCTTTTATAATCGTCAAATGGTCTAAAACAAGTGAAAGTAGACAAAGGTGGGTCTAGCTATACTATCAAATTATATAAACACATTGACCTAATTAAATATTGAAGAAACCATTGTGCTGAAAGAAAGAAAGAAAAACGCTGCGCGAGGGTAGCTTACTCCTGTAATCCTAGCTACTCAGGAGGCTGCGATCTGAGGATCGAGGTTCAAAGCCAGCTTGGGTAGGAAAGTCTGTGAGACTCTTATCTCCAGTTTAAAAAAACAAGCAAAAAACAGAAGTGGAAAGTCTTGGTGATAGAGTCTTAGTCTTGGTGAGGGAGAAGGGGACCAGGGGAGAAGGAAGGTGGGGTGGGCCGAAGGAAGGAAAGGGGGAGAGGGAATTTCATTTCATGTTTTTTCAAACCCCAACAAAATTTTGCTTATTAACACAATTAGATACTTTAACTCACCTTTTGGACAAGAATTGCCAGCACATTTCCATCTGTTAAAAGTGTGACATCTGAGTGATGTAGAATGACTAAATGGCTGTTCCACCAAGTCAACACATCTTGTTTTTTCCTGAAGAGCACACATTGAAGTAGATTGCTTGTTGCCATTTGGTTAGGATGCTAAAGAGTTTTAAACACTTTTCTTTGAGATGATAGTGTATATTCACACATCGATGAGGTTTACATGCTATGAAGTCGAGAAACTGGGATTTACTTGCTTCATTTGAATTTGACAAAGATAGTTGGAAAGTGAAAATGTTAGCGCTGTATGGGGAACTTGCAAAGCTGTTCCATCCAAGTTTCTCACACAAGAGCAACACATCATCTTTCCCCTCACAGAGGGGCAGCTCTTCCCCTGTATATTGTCAGAGCTTCTTAAAGAGACATACGTGAGCTAAGAGATCCAGTGTTATTTTAGTGATCAGTTTGCCACTGTTTCATGATCTGAGAAATCATTTGGTAAGCCCTTACTTCTTTTTTGCTTTGAGAGTACTGTTCTCACATCTCATATTCCAAGCCTCTCCTATTCAAGAAGTTTAACTGTTTTCAAATCTGCTTTATTGGCTGGATATGGTGTAGATGTCTGTAATCCCAGCTGTGTAAAAGGTATGAGTAGGAATATCACTGTCTGGAGCCACCGGGAGCCAAAGAGTGACTCTCAGAAATAACTACAAATAAGAGCTTAAGGCATGGCTCAAATAATTGAGCACCTGCCTAGAAGGCATAAGGCATCTAGGTATTGGTGGTGTGTGCCTTATAATCCTAGCTATTCAGAAGGCTGAGATGTGAAGATCAAGTTTCAGGACTAGCCCGATCAGACTAATCCAAGATATTCTTACCTCTAAATTAACCAGCAAATGTTGTGAAAGTAGAGGTGTGGCTCAAGTGGTAGGAGCACCCAGTCATGAGTGGAAGAGCTAATAAGCAAGAGCATGAGGCCTTGAGTTCAAACCCTAGGATGAAAAAAATAACCTCTACTTTGCTTTAAGATTTATAAGGAAAAGAACTTTCTAACTTTACTGGACTTTGGCTACTTCTGTGTTTGATTTGATTTGAGTCTTTAATACTATCTTTTTTTTTTGCCTTTGATAATCAATACTTGTCTGTTTTTAATGTATATCATGATGTCTTTTATCAGGTTGAATTTGAAGATGGATCCCAGATAGCAATGAAGAGAGAGGATATCTACACCTTAGACGAAGAACTACCCAAGAGGGTGAAGGCTCGCTTTGTAAGTGCTGACGGATGCCACTTGGGGGGTCCCACCAGTGGAGTCCTGAGTCCTTGTCCTTTCTTGTGTTTCCTAAGTTGAACAGGAAATACTTTGGGGCTTTGAGTTAATTTAGAAGAAAGGTGATGTAGCATTTTGCTTATTTACTGAATAAAAGCTTCAAATTTGGTCAGAAATCGGGGAAATCAGTTGTATATGGCTTCATTGCTTTCTAATGAAGTTAAATGACATTCTTTGCCATTAGCATTTATCGATGCACAAAAGTAGTCATTGAACACATCCTCTGTGCAAAGCATGAGAAGCAACAAGATTCCATCAAGGCATTTGCTATGTGGTTAGCAGAAGCAACATGGAGAGGAAGTTTATAGTAGTAAGTGGCAGGCAGTCAGCCCAGTGAATGTCTGGTCCTTAGTTATATCAGAAGATTGCTAATGTTTCTGACAGCTTCGAGTACCAACCAGTTCCCAATTTCTTAATAAAAAAGGTAAAGCCTGAATATTAGTTGTGGGAATACGAAAGGCCTTTTTAGTTGCAAGCCTAGTACATGCCACTAAAAGATAAACACGGACAAGTAATCTAAACAAATTGTTCAAAACCATCATTCACGATAATTTAGGTTTCATATTATTGTGTCATAAAATATTTAGTGGACCCTGAAATGAAGTCAGTTTTGCTCATTTAGAATTATGTCCACTGCATCTGTGAGATGATAAATCCTAAACAGAGAAATTTGAATGAATGGGACTTCTCCGACTAAAAATGAATTTATTTACTGAATAAATGGAATGAGATTTTTCCCAGCTAAAATGGACTTATTTGCTGAATAAATGATACTCTTCGTTTTCACCACATGCTTATGATAGTCTTTCCCATGATGACAGACCTACTATAAATTATCTGGTTATTTGGGGAAGCACCAATGGTTTCCTTAAGTGTGAATCACATATTCCGTTCCTTTTCCTGTCAGTTGGGATCCTAACTGCAGGAACCTGCATCAGGTGTGAACTAACAGTGCCTTCTCAGTTGCATCCTCAGGAGAAAGGTCCTTAAAGTGAATAGTCAAGAGGAGAGTGATGGTCTCAGTACTGCTATCCACCAGGTGGGAAGTGTGGGACCGTCAGGCATTGTCCATGCCCATCAACACAGGTTAAGGTTAGCTAGCAGATGATAACTGCAAGGAGAGGGAAGGTTAAATGTGTCTACTGTAAAGCCACCAGCTAATTCTTCATAACTCCTAAATATCCTATGCAACTACTAGGATCTTGAAATCTCAGAAAAACCTTCAAGGTGATGGAGATGATGCTCTCTCATTTTGTTTCCATCTCCTCCTAGCTCTTGGCTCTCTCTTCCCCTCCCTCTCCTTTCTTTTTGTTTCTTATTGTCTAGAGAGCTAGGAGAATGGAATATGTAACCTTCTGGAAGTCTCTTATGACTTTGATTTTCTATTCAATGTATGACTGAGCACCCTACCAGCTGAGTCTTGTAAATTTCACATACTTCTACTCATTGGCTTTAGAAGAAAACCTCTTTCTACCCTGGTCACAATCTCATTGTTCTGCAGCAGATTGGCTTAAGTATCTTCATAGGCAGTTTTATCTGGACACAGCTCCTGAGTTTTCTAAAGTCTGTTTCTTTGAGCAAACACATCAATGCTCATTTAAAAAAAATTAAAAAATAATATATAGAATATTTTTTTAAAAAGAAGCAATGGAAAATACCTAGATCCCATACTCACACCAAATGCAGCATGTTCTATCAAACACAGCTGAGCCTAGTAGGGTGCAAAGTGCATGACCCTGTGTCCGCCTCTGTTGTTAGTGGATCAAAGTACTCTGCTATGGCTAACCTGCCTTTGCTCAGGTGGGTGATTAACCCTCTGGCCCTTGGGTCATCTGTCCATGACTGATGTTTTTTTCCAGTTGGTGAAACAAATCTAATTGGAAAACCCATTGATGGAAGGTTTTTTGGGTTTTTTTTTTATGCTTAGAGCAATCTTTTTCTCTTTTCAAGCTATAGGTTAGCAGCCTTCCTCAGAAGGCCTTCATGTTTTAATAACTTACGCTCACCCAGATTCACGCCGGAGGAGGGAGAAATGTTTCAAAAAGAGTCAGCAGTCCACTTCATGATTGTGCTGGGTTCTTTTCCACTTACTTCAGAAAAGGCCCCATTACCTTTTATTGTCTCACAGAATAACCATGGCAACGGTGCATAATTAACTGGAGCTCCTGGTGAATTGGCTTTATGATTGTGTTTGAGAGACTGACTTTTGCTGTTCTTGCACAGTGGCAACACTTTCATAGATGTTTTATTTTCTCCTGTGATAACTTTAGCACTTAGAAAAGTAAAAGACTATTCAGAAGTGCTTTGCCAATAGTGAATGAAACAAAATGTTTTTTTAAAAAATGACACAGAGCACTCAACCAACTTTCTTCCCTAGTGAATCTAGGTAGGGGCAAGGGAACCTGTCCGGGTAGTTCACCACCATGGATAATGTTTGTGTCCAGTCCTGGGCTGGTCAATAAATACCATACTCTAATGCAAAGTAACACTGGCTGCTTTTAGTCCACAGCCTCTGACATGCGATTTGAAGACACATTTTATGGAGCAGACATTATCCAAGGGGAGAGGAAGAGACAAAGAGTGCTGAGCTCCAGGTTCAAGAATGAATATGTGGATGACCCTGTGTATCGCACTTTTTTGAAGAGCTCTTTCCAGAAGAAGTGTCAGAAGAGGCAGTAGTCTACCCATGGTGCTGCAGGCCACGAGCAGCTCAGGCTGGAAGAGGAAAGATGAAGGGACAGCTTTGGGGCCGAGCCCTGTGTTACTCTGGGATAGGTGGCTGGGTGCATCTTTCAACAGTGGTGAAGAAGGTTTCCAGAGTTTGATGACCAAGCAAATAAAACTCATGTATTTTCACTTGGCTTCAGCAATCTGAAGTCATCCCTCCATCTTACTCTCACTTGGAGCAATTATTCTCTGTGATCCCAAAGAATTTTTCTTAAGTGAAAAAAAGTCGTAGTGAATAATGCACTAGAAAGAGCCACTGCCAGAGATGAGGTAGGTCTCCATGCGCAGCTCAGGCCCCTCAGGAAACACATGGAGGGTCCCCTCCCCAAGCCCAGCAGGTGGGAGGCTGGTAATTTATATATTTTTCACAGTCAGGGAAGGACTTTCACTTATTTGTTTTAAATGGCAGTTTTTATAAAACATTTTTAAAACACAAATGGCATGTATGGTAATGAGATTTACCCGTGTGCTATCTGTATTCCCTTGTACAGAACTTTTACATTTTTTATATTCCTATTACTTTTGATTGTGTCTGATGAGAACTGAGTCAGCCTTCGTGAAATGAAATTTTTGGCTCTTGAGGAGGAATTGTTATGACTTCTATGGGAATTTTATATATTTAAAGAGGGAGATCTGGGGCTGTTATTTTTAAACACTTTTTTTCATAATACCTATTCTGAGTAGCTATTTATAAAATATATGTTTCTTTCATTATGTGTTTGTAAAATTAGAGTTTAAAGAAATATGCCTTGATGCATAGTTTTTACCTAATATAACATGAATTTTTTTTCTTTTTAAAACAGCCTGAAATGTAGTCGTGTTTAAAAATAAAGATTTCCATTTTCTCCTATCCTGTCCTCTGACTCATTTCTTTGGGTTTAAAACTAACAGCACACAAAGCTTATTGAGGTGTAGGCCCAGGTTTTTCTGATCCTCCTCCTACCACTGACTTTGTATACCGCTGTTAGAGTGTATCACGATAACATTATAGATCTGGGATCGTCTCCCTGCCTACCGTGCAAGGCTGAGTAGTTACTTTATTCCCTGGGTTCTGGAATATTTCTCATCCCAGGTTTCCTGGTCCTAGTTATCATGAGAAGGGACTGTGGAGGAGGACAAGTCAGGAAAGGGCAGCTTGTGGGCACCCAGTTAAGTGTCTGCTTCAGTTAAATAGGGTCACAATTATGCTGTAGATTAAACAAGCAGAATTCTAATGGCCTGAGCAGGAAGCATTTATTTTGCTCTTTTATGCTGGTCTTGGCTGTGCAAGTGCCTTCTGTCTGCCTTAGTGTATCTAGTGTGCTAGCCCAAGTATGTTCTTTTCATGTTAAGGGTCGAGGCAGGACAGCAAGCAGGCCCGGTGGAGGAAGCACATTTCAGTCCTCTGTGGAGGACTAACATTTAATGGTGGAAAAGCTCAGAGCCAGGAATTGACAGGGCATTTCAAAGTTTCAGGGCACAGGGTACAATGGATCCTGTTGCTTGGTAGAGAGCAAAGTGCCAAACCAGTAATGACAGAGTCCCAGCAAAGCTCAGTTCTCTAGACCATGTGCTGGCAAGGCACTCATTTTCCAGGGTGCCTCATGGCTGACCTCAGAGCTGGGGTGGAGCCCACCAGCCTAGTTTCACAGGGACCAACTGTTCCACATTCTCTGCTAGTACAGTCATCTATTTTATCAAGTCATCAAGCTTGAATTTTCTATCTCTGGGTTTTAAATGGAACTGACCTGCTCTTTCCACGATAGGCTGGGAAAGTAGGCCTGTGTAAGGCATTAAGAGGAATTAATCTAAATAGGATCATTCGTTCTGTACAAGTTTGCCTGTCAGCAAGATTTCTGATTGGCTGCCACAGGGAGAAAATGTGCAGAGCCTTATGTGATCTCAAATACAGCTGTTCTTTATGGTCTCACTCAAGTAATGTTCCTATAACCAAGTACAGCTGTATATGTCCTTAGCAAAATAGTCCTGGCCACAAATATACTCTGGCTATGGAGAAAGGCACCTTTGTGTCACTACATTCTGCATAAATTGGCTATTAGCTCTATGACCAGAGAAAGCATTCAAGCTTTTTCACTTACTGGATGATACCTCAATTGTAATTTTAATTTCATTGCATTACTCTAACTGCATTTTTAGTGTGTGTGTGTGTGTGTAGCATGAAAACAGTTAAAAGTCCTTCTGGTGTTTTTTTTTTTTCTTTTCTTTTTTAAATTGCTTAGCTGTGACAATTCTAATGTAATACTAATTGCAAGTCCTTTCTCTGGAGGTTAAGGGATTAGTAAAAACTAGTTGGCATATTTCACAACATTGTAATTCCTTTTGTGTGTTTGAAATGAGGACAAATACAGTCCTTGTCAGTTTACTTTCCTTAAGTGACTTTTTTTTCCTTCTTTTTAGTTTAACTAGAGAAATAGAGAATAAGCATCCACTGGAGTATCACAATGGCTTCTTGGAATGTATAAATTGCTATTGGGGTATAGTACATGACGACTCAGAATACAACACTATGTAGGACAGAATGGATCTGCTGCTTCCTGTTATATCATCATCTCAAGTGAAAGGAGGCCATTCAGGCATATGTTACTGTAGATGCCCCGAAGGTCTTATGAATAATCATTGGAGTGGTATCCGCTGAGAGATAACATTGTGTTTTATTTTTGCCTTTAAGTAAAGGGGATCTGAAATGAAACAATCTTCATTTCAGATATAAATCAGCCCCATAAACTTGAAGCTAACCAGAGGTCCTGAGGCATTCTCATTACATGAAGTAATTGGTTATTTTCAAGATTCAATTGACTACAAAGTCCTGAGAATTCAGATGTGCAGTCATCCAAAATGTTACACATCTTACCCAGCAAGAGGGAGGGACATAATAGCACTGATCAGTGAGGAAAACAATTTCTGACCTCTAAGTAGGCCTGAATTCTCCGGCATAGCTGAGGACTCAGAATCCCTGTATTCTGTTTTTAGCAGAAGATACAGATTTCTTTGAGGAAATGGAACTTGGTCAAGAACACTGACACAAATACTGCATGGGATATCTATTGTGTACACCCAGCCCTATAAGCTCCTTAGTGATATTTATCTTATTTAGCAAAGCTAATGTCATCATCCTCTTATAGAAAGGAAACTAAGACTCAAAACGTTTGAATCACCCAACCTTCTTGGTGCTTGAAGAATAAAAAAGAGATCTGACCCAAACAAAATTCATGGGAGAGATGAGTGTGAAACTCAAAGCTTAGCACAGAGATACAAAATTATTATTCATGGACAATTCAATCTTTAGAACCTGAAGTGCTCTTTGATCTGCTTTATTTACTATTTGGGAGCCACTCTGGAAACACGCATGCTATTCCACTCTTCAGTTCAAATCTCTAGTCTTTGATGATTTAAAGTAGGCCACATTCCTGTGTGTGCTAACCAAGACATGGGTTCCCATGTGGGTTAAAATGGGTTAAAAAAAATCCTTGGGCTGGGAAGGTGGCTTAGTGGTAGAGCACTTGCCTTGAGCTAAAGAGCTGAGGGACAGCGCCCAGGCCCAGAGTTTAGGCCCCATGACCAGAACAAAAAATAAAAATAAAAAATCCTTTATCTCTTTCTGTAGTTGGGAGATTGAGTGATCCTTCCTGCTCCTGCTGGCAAATTCTACTCTGTCTCCATTGCTTTCATTCTGGCAGGAGGAATATGCTATCTGGGACCCACAGTTACTATGAAGTCAAGCAGGGTTAAATCCAGACTTCCTACTAGTCTCCATCAACACAGGTGATGCAGAACCATGGGGCATGTCATTTGTCACACTGTGTAGGGTAGAAGTCAATTCCCCACTTGGACTGTAATGACAGGCAGATGAGGGCATTGTTTGATTATTGTGTGAGTTCATTTTCTGTTATGAGAAAATACCAGAAGCTGGATAACATGTAAAGAAAGAGATTTAGTTGGCTGCAGGTCCCTTGTGGCTGAAGAGTCCATAGAAACAGATGGAGAAATGGCTGAGTTCAGAGGAGACCAGGACATCAAGCGGCTTTGCTTTGTAGCAACCAACTCTCATGGGAACGAATCCATACCCTCCAGACCCAACCCACTCCACGAGCCCAACACTAATCCACCTGGAGGATGAGATCCCATGACCTTCAGTAGGCCCTCATCTCGTGACTCCACTTCAACATCACCACAAGGGACAAAGGTTACAGCATATTAGCGGTATCTGAATCCTAATAGTTCACCAGAAAGGGAGTATTGTCAGTTTTGGTCCCACTATACTGCCTCTTTACTGCTCCTTTTGAATAGAACAGGTTTTTCCTGGAGTATATCTTTAACATGTCTTTACCTATGAGTGGTTCTGGTATGTAGGATTCACTGAGTCCAGGATACATAAGACATAAAACACAGAGAATTCATCCCTACGTTACTTCCTACAGTGCTAAAGTCTTTGTTCTACTTTCCTCTTTCAACATTTCTTAGTTTTATGTATTATATCCAGGACATAATTATTTACTTACTTTTGGTGTGTGTGTGTGTGTGTGTGTGTGTGTGTGTGTGTGTGTGTGTGTGTGTGGTGTGTACACATGCCTGCTCTGGGGCTTGAACTCAGCACTTGGACACTGTTCCTGAGAATATTTTTGCTCAAGGCTAGCACTCTACCACTTGAGCCACAGTGCAACGTTCAGCTTTTTTTGTTAATTGACCATAAGAGTTTTGTGGGCTTTTCTGCCCTGGCTGGTTTTGAATCTCAATCCTCAGATTTCACATATTACACTGGTGCCTGACTTTATTTTTGAGTTAGACTCTTGCTTCCTGCCCAGGCATGTATTTGGATCACAATCTGCCTATGTTAGGCTTCTTATAAAACTAATTACTGAGAGGACAGGAGTGTACCATGGAATCCATTCAATGAGATGGAGTTCTGTGGACTTCTCTGCTGGACTTTCCTGGAACTGTAAACTTACCAATCTTGGCCTCTCATTTAGAATAACAAGCATGCACCACTGTGCACCTGAGCTGGCCTGGAACTTCAGTCCTCCGATTTTTAGCCTCCCAAGTAGCTAGGACTGTAGGCACAAGCTACCAAAACCTGCTCTTAAAGTTGTATGTTAATTTTTGCCTGGATTGACCTTGAATCTCAATCTTTCTATCTTTGCTTCTTGAAGAGTTAGGATTACAGGCAGGCATCGCTACTCCTGACTGGGATTTTTAATTATGTTTAGCAGTAATCTATCTGATCCAGAATGAAAAGTTCTCACTTTTTGATGGAAGAAAAGAACTTATTGCGAAAGGCAGAGATAGAAGATTGGTGAAAGAATCCCAAAGTGAGGAAGAGAGCAGATAGATAGAACTGATAGATATGACAGCCACCCCAATATGATAGTATTCCTGCATTGAAATAGCACACTACACCCCATAAATATGCATAATTCTGTGCCAATTAATTTTTTTTAAAAAATTAGAGAGCAAAGGTGGTGTGGTTGGTCTTATTGTTACCAAAAGGAGGTTTTCTCAAAAGGGATCAACTCCTGTCGTGTGAAGGTAGACTGTGAAATTATTCTAGGAGGGCAGTGCGGGTGGGGTTGGTACAGGGTATGGGTTGTAGGGAAACTGAAGATGCTAAAGAGGAAGGAGAGGCAGAGGAGTCAGAGAGTAGAGTGAAACAAAGTCATTTCACTGAACTAATTTATTCCTTTATAACTATTTAGCTTTATTTTTAAATTGAACTAATTTATTCCTTTATAACTATTTAGTTTTATTTTTAAATTGATGATCCATATCTTATAAAACTTCCCCTTTTCAAATGCACAATCCAGTACTTTTAGTGTACTCCCTCTTACACATCTGCCAGCATGATCTACA